TGCTCCGGACCTAGCACCTTATCTGTTGTGGCCTATGACCGCTCGAGCAGTGGCTCAGCCTCAAGGTACCTGCCCTGGCTTTCAGTCCGTACTGCATGCCAGGGCAAGTACGCTGAGCCCGAGCCACTGTATGAGCAGTCACAGGCCATAACAGAGAAGGTGCTTGGTCCAGAGCATCCTGACGTGGCCACGGTGCTCAAGATATGGGTGTTAATTGGTGGGCAGTCAGGTGAGTTGCAGAAAATTTGAGCACCGTGGTCACATCAGGGTGCTCCGAATCTAGCACCGTGCGTGTTATGGCCTGAGACCGCTTCAACAGTGGCTCGGCCTCATTGTGCTTGCCCTGGCATGCAGTACGATTGAACGCCAGGGCAAGTACGCTGAGGCTGAGCCACTCCACGAGCGGTCACAGGCCATACGAGAGAAGGTGCTTGATCCAGAGAATCCTGAAGTGGCCACGGTGCTCAAGACACGGGCGTAAATTTGTTGTCGATCAGGTGAGTCGTACAAAGTTTGAGCACCGTGGCGTGCTTGGCATCACGCACGGTTTTCCGAACCTAGCACGTCATCGGCTATGGTCTGTGACCGCTCGAACAGCTGCTCGGCGAAAATGTACCTGCCCTGGCTTTCTGTCCGTACTGCATGCCAGGGCAAGGGCGAAGAGGCTGAGCCACTCCACGAGCGGTCACAGGCCATACGAGAGAAGGTGCTTGGTCCAGAGAATCCTGAAGTGGCCACGGTGCTCAAGAACCGGGCGTTAATGGTTGGTCAATCAGGTGAGTCGCAGACAGTTTGAGCACCGTAGTCACATCACGGTGTTCCAGATCTAGCACCGTTCTGGTTTGGCCTGTGACCGCTCGAACAGCTGCTCGGCGTAAATGTACCTGCCCTGGCTTTCTGTCCGTACTGCATGCCAGGGGAAGTACGCTGCGGCCAAGCTACTGTATGAGCGATCACAGGCCACAACAAAGAAGGTGCTAGGTCCGGAGCATCCTGATGTGGCCACGGTGCTCAAGAATCGGGCGTTAATTGTTGGTCAATCAGGTGAGTCGCAGACAGTTTGAGCACCGTGGCCACATCACGGTGTTCCAGATCTACCACCTTTCTGGTTTGGTTTGTGACCGCTCGAACAGCTGCTCGGCGTAAATGTACCTGCCCTGGCTTTCTGTCCGTACTGCATGCCAAGGGAAGTACGCTGCGGCCGAGCTGCTGTATGAGCGATCACAGGCCACAACAAAGAAGGTGCAAGGTCCGGAGCACCGTGCGTGATGTGGCCACGGTGCTCAAGATACGGGCGTTGTTGTTGGCTAATCAGGTGAGTTGCAGACAGTTCGAGCACCGTGGCCACATCACGGTGTTCCAGATCTAGCACCGTTCTGGTTTGGCCTGTGACCGCTCGAACAGCTGCTCGGCGAAAATGTACCTGCCCTGGCTTTCAGTCGGTACTGCATGCCAGGGCAAGTACGCTGCGGCCGAGCTACTGTATGAGCGATCACAGGCCACAACAAAGAAGGTGCTTGGTCCAGAGCATCCTGAAGTGGCCACGGTGCTCAAGAACCGGGCGTTAATTGTTGGTCAATCAGTTGAGTCGCAGACAGTTTGAGCACCGTGGCCACATCACGGTGTTCCGGATCGAGCACCTTTTTTGGTACGACCTGTGACCGCTCGAACAGCTGCTCGGCGAAAATGTACCTGCCCTGGCTTTCTGTCCGTACTGCATGCCAGGGCAAGTACGCTGCGGCCGAGCTACTGTATGAGCGATCACAGGCCACAACAAAGAAGGTGCTAGGTCCGGAGCATCCTGAAGTGGCCACGGTGCTCAAGAACCGGGCGTTAATTGTTGGTCAATCAGGTGAGTCGCAGACAGTTTGAGCACCGTGGCCACATCACGGTGTTCCAGATCTACCACCTTTCTGGTTTGGCCTGTGACCGCTCGAACAGCTGCTCAGCCTCAAGGTACCTGCCCTGGCTTTCAGTCCGTCCTGCATGCCAGGGGAAGTACGCTGAGGCCGAGCCGCTGTGTGAGCGATCACAGGCCATAACAGAGAAGGTACTAGATCCACAGCATCCTGACGTGGCCACGGTGCTCCAGAAACGGGCGTTAATTGTTGGTCAATCAGGTGAGTTGCAGACAGTTTGAGCACCGTGGTCACACCACGGTGCTCAGGACCTAGTACCTTGGCTTTCATGGCGCGGACCGCTCGTACAGTGGCTCCGCCTGAATGTGCTTGCCCTGGCTTTCAGTCCGTAGTGCATGCCAGGGAAAGTACGCTGAGGCCGAGCCACTGTACGAGCTATCACAGGCCATAACAGAGAAGGTGCTAGGTCCAGAGCATCCTGATGTGGCCACGGTGCTCAGCAACCGGACGTTGATGTTGGCTAATCAGGTGAGTTGAAGACAATCTTCCTCCGCAGTTAGTTCTTGATCTCGTTTTGACTGCAATCCGACCCGGTGTGGTGCTATTCAGCACATATCATGGCAAGTGTGCTGAGACCGAGCCATTTTATAAACGGCCATGAGCCGTTGGAGGGAAGACTCGGAGCCAGGGGTACCCAGATGTGTCCAGGTGATCGACAACCGGGCGCGCGGTTGTTAACGTTTTGATCCGCACTTGCAAATCCCACGTTGATTGAACCATGAGTCAGCTTGGCCACCCTGTGTATAACTCGAGCCTGTTGACGCTACAAGGAACACAACAAGTTGCGGGTCGGGCGGTCTGCCTGGAGTCTCTTTACACTTGTAGCCTGTAGTGCAACAGGGGGGGCGCTTCAGCCCTAACCCAAACATCCCACCCGAAATTCCTCCGATTACCCATCCAACAATATGTCTAAATTATGCATCGAAGTTTTATAGCCTCATGTGGAGGACAAGATGACAGAAACATTGAGGGAGGATGGGGTGCATCGTGCACTGTGCTGTTTGGGCAATAAATCTACACCGCTGTCCATGTCATCGCAAGGAATAATAGAAAACCCTGCTCTCTATGTATGACGGGGTTGCGAGTCGCCGTGTTTCGTGGGACCGCCAACAACAACGCGGTTCTGAGTTGTGAGTTTTGACAGAGAGGGGGGGGGGTGTTGCTCATAGCGGTGCATGCCGTACTTGTGAGACCATTCATTGACCTCGCATGACAGAGGGGTGTTTTCTTTATTGTGTACCCGCGCACGCGGATCACACCTTTCCTTCCTTCCAAACACACAAATAATGCATATCGGTTGTGTTCCGCACGTTTGCACCCTTGGAGAAGTAGATCGCCAAAGTTGGAAAGCCAAACGAACTCCCGAGGTGCGTCAGCATTGTAGTCTTACGTACTTTGGGCGCGGCTGTGCGGTGCAACATTTTTACTCCCAAACAGCCAAGCAAGACCAAGAAAAAAATCGCCTCACTGTCCACAAGCGTTCTGCCACGTCTGTCTGCGGTTCTGCTGCAGGTTGCAGGCAGCGTGTGCGAGTTTGGAAGATGAAAACAATGAGCACACTGATGCTGTACATGACACGTCCATAAATCAACATCAACACAACTTTCCCACATTTTTTTTTCAAACGGTCGTAAGTCGTGAGAATGAAAGCCGTGTGGCTTCGACGTAGGCCGCCCACCAGGCAGAAAGATCCCGCGCCTGCACATGCTTGCACCGCGGCATGACGACTGCTACTACTGCTGCTGTAGCCCCGACACATGAATGATTGACAACAATCCGCTGCTGAGACTGCTCCTGTGCAATGAATGCCCTCACCTTGGGAGAACCACCCAGGCCGAGCGCAATGGCGCACACGAGCGTGGATTCGGCCCCACGACCGTGTTCAGCCGTTGCCCAAACACGGCCTTGGCGTCCTTGTACAAGAGAAAGTTTTTCATCTGAGGCTAACGATGAAGCCTTTCATCCAGCCCGAAACCTCGCGACCGGCAGCACCGGTGCCCGATCCCGTGAGCATATCTCTGCTTATGGGCGCCCTGCTGCTGGTGTTGGTGGTCACCATGCTGTTGATGTGGTCTCTTGGCACTGCCTTCCTCCCGCTCTCCACCACCGCAAATTTGAAAGACAAGAGGAAACGAGGGCGTGTTTGCCGCCCAGTCGTTGATGACGGAAGGAAGAGATCCAGAGGGGAGAGACGCCTAAGGGTCATTGATTTCTCGCCCTCCTCTGCCCCTACCCTCCCTTCTTTGTCGCTCTCTCGCCCCCGCTACGCTCCCATGCCTTCTCGATCGCCGTGCCAGTCAGCAATGCCCCTCCTGGCGCTTTCCATTTTTTCCCATACGTGGTCGGTTTGGCGGTCCAAGCGTTTCCCGAACCAGACAGCTGGGCGGTTCAGGAGGCCTCTTTCTTCTTTTTTGACTCTTCAGTGCCTCCCCAAAACCGACATGGTCAACTGCACGGCAGGCCAGTAAGCAGCTGCCCAAATGACGGACTCCTCTTGTTGTATTCAGCACGACAGTCAGCGGCAGCAGTTAACACTTACCGGCGATATTGCGTCTGGTGGAGCGTAAAATTTCAGTGTAGTTGTAGTGCAGCAGTAATCTAGTCCCCGCAAAATTAGGACGGCGATGGACTGCTGTTCATACCAACCAGATTACTCTCTGGGGGGCGGGGAAATAGGCAGTACGCTGCTGTACACTGCTGTAAGGCGCAGCCGTTGTTCCTGCTGCATGACCAGCAGCAAACTCCCAAACTCGGCCCGTACTGCTGCGTAGATTGTTTTCATGTTGTTAGCACAACATCCGGGATGATCGATCAACTTACTATCTATGTCGCCTAGACCAGAGTTGCACTCGTACCTATGCTGCCTGTAAGCGTCCGGTCATGCCCGCTCCCATTTACCTACTACAACTTATACGATCCATCCTTCGGGCTTCATTCTGTGTAGATATCACTATTTTACTCACACCTCCTCTGTATGTACGTCTCGGAAAAAGGAATAAATACATCGTATTCTTAAATAACGAAATCGAGCGTACACCCCCAGGCACGAACGAACGGCAACAGATAAAACAACAAACCAGGATATCCCCCCTACGCAGCAAGGTGAACCTAGGAGATATCGTAGGTTACGAGATAACACACAATTCCCGGAACCTATTTTTAAAGCTCAACTACAGTACTCTGCACCTAAAACAGCAGTGACGATTCCGAAAATGGCGGCATCGGAACGGAACGGTCGGGTCGATATCTTGCCTAAAACGCATCCTTCAAGTTTGGAATCTTAATCTTCTGCGTCGTGGAGCATAATAACTGGTTCAGCTGGTGTGACAACTCATGCAACACACGGTAACGATAAGACCGGGAAATTCGCAAACCGCTGTGGGCTTGGACAGATGCCAGAAGAAGAAGCAGCCGTACCCGCATTTGTTAAGCCTTTCAGCGACCCC